ACCAACAGCTGAGTTAGGTTTCCATGAGCAAGAGATTCGTACCCAAGGTTCAATCATAAATTACATGACTCGAAAGCAAATTCTCTAAAATGAGCATGTTGCCCAAGATCTTAAAAATAAATAGAATAGACTGGGCACAGTGGTTCACGCCTGTAATCCCAGCACTTTGGGAGGCCAAGGTGGGCGGATCACCTTAGGTCAGGAGTTCAAGACCAGCCTGGCCAACATGGCAAAACTCCGTCCCTACTAAAAATACAAAAATTAGCTGGGCATAATAGTGGGCGCTGGTAATCCCAGCTACTTGGGAGGCTGAGGCAGGAGAATCGCTTGAACCCGGGAGACGGAGTTTGCAGTGAGCTGAGATCGTACCACTTCACTCCAGCCTGGGCAACAAGAGCTAGACTCTATCAAATAAATAAATAAATAAATAAATAAATAAATAAATAAATAGAATGAAATGAGATGGCACAGTATCACCACCCTTCCCCATCAATAATCACTCAGTGCAGGAATACCCCTCACCCCGCGGCTTTACAAGCTTCAATTACTCGTGTCTGTAGGCTATGGAGGTGGATGGCAATTTACAACCAATCAGAGAAAGAAGGAAATTAAGTAGCCAGAGTAGACTACCAAATGTGGTATGTGCCAAAAATGGAAAATGCATCTTATTAAGTGGAACAGCTCCCTCAGCACTTTTCACAGATTCCCTAGGATATCCTATGATTGATATGTTTCAATGAGCCGTCTTTATCTGTGTGTTGGTTCCAACTAAATATCAATTCATAGATGCTCTAAAGACCCCACATTCTTAATTTCAGATTATTTTATGAAGATATCACTTTAAGGCTGGGTGCGGTGACTCACGCCTGTAATCCCAGCACTTTGGGAGGCTGAGGCTGGCGGATCACAAGGTCAGGAGATCGAGACCATCCTGGCCAAAATGGTGAAACCCCGTCTCTACTAAAAATACAAAAAATTAGCCAGGCATGGTGGCACACGCCTGTAATCCCAGCTACCCAAGAGGCTGAGGCAGGAGAATCGTTTAAACCCAGGAGGGAGAGGTTGCAGTGAGCCGAGATAGCGCCACTGCACTCCAGTCTGGGTGACAGAGAGAGACTCCATCTCAAAACAAAAACAAAAACAAACAAACAACAAAACTCCAAAAATACAAAAACTAGTGTTTCCTAGAACACATGCTGAGAAGTGTGTTCATCAGGAAATGAAGGAGCTCATCCCATAGCACTGAAAACATTGCTGCTCATTTCTGAGAATCTTTGCTCCATCTTTAGACAAAGGGTAAAGTTACTCCACTCGAACCTGTGGGCTTATCTTTCTCCATGGCACATTCTAACAGCATGTTTGTGCCTGTCCTTCCTTCTCACAAAACACAATAAAGGTCCTTTTACTGAAAAGTACTCCGAATGGGTCTCTCAAAACACTTGTTTAACAGGAAAGCTTAGTTGGGCTAGGGGATTTCCTTTCTTTAAGAAAAAAGAAAGCAACTTTCTGTGCTACAATCCTCATTAAAGAAACGAGCGCGGTTCAGGCCGCTTAGGCAGTGCTTTGCTGGAACGGGTGCTGGTCCCTGGTGATACTCAGCCTGGTGGTACCTCGCCGGGTGACTCATATTCTGATGTCTTAAAGAACTGATCCTCTGCAGGAAATTATTCAGGATGTGAAATGTCAAGAAAGACAGATGATGATTAAAAAAAGAAAGAGAAGTCAGGGTTACACTGAACTTAATTGGGAAATTGTCCAAAGGAGAATATGGCAGGAAAGGAAAGAGGAGGAAAGAGGGATGAAGAGGGCAAAGAGAGGAAGGGAGGAAAGAGGGAGAGCAGACTGGCTGTGAGGGAGGCAGGGCAGACGGGAAATGGGAGGAAAGAGGTCTGGCATTTACTGAACATCATCTGTGTGCTTGGGAAGGGCATCAGAAGAGGTATATAGATAAGAATTTTTGTAAAAAGTCACAGGCAAAGTTCATTTTGATATGGTTTGAGAGCAGAAACCCCACCCCCATTCCCTAAAGATATAAAGCCCATCCCTTGGGAACCACCACACGTGAACATAAGAGGCATTTACAAACTGAGGCCTTTTCTTTTTCATTTTTATTTTAATCTGAGATGGGAGTCTCGCTTGGTCACACCAGGATAAGGGTCAGTGTGAGATCTCAGTTACACTGCAACCTCCACTTTCCTAGGTTCAAGCAATTCCACTGCCTCCAGCCTCTCCGTAGTACGTGGGATTATAGGTGTGACGCCACCATGCTTGGGCATATTTTTGTCAGTATTTTTAGTAAGAGATGGGGTTCACTAGTGGCCAGGCTAGTTCTCGAACTCCTGACCTCAAGTGCCAACCGCCTTGGCCTCCCAATGAGTGCGTGGGAATTACAGGGCATGAGTCACTGTTCCCATCGGGCAAGACTGGAAAGCTCTTTTAATGCCCATATGACACAGGTAGACATCCTAAAAACATATGGACCTGCAAACTGAATGATCAGGGATGGACCTAACCCACCAAGAATGGCAAGGCAGAGGTTTTAAAAACAGGATGAGAGTTTCCACCCACTACATGCTTCCTGACATTTCTGCAGGCACCCAATTTCCGGGTCCCTCTTTGCTGTGCTCCCAGACTACGCGTCTGGATGGCGGTGCACACCAGCACAGGAGCGAGTGACCCTTGACCCCGATGGAGCCCAATTCTCCTGCGCAGCCGCCATCAATATACTACATTTGTGGTAGAGATTCCAAAATTGTGATAGGAGACTAAGCAGTGCCAGTTGTGGGGGAAAAGGAATGAGAGAAGCATATGTTTATTCGACGTTTGGGCGAGGATCAGACTAGACTTCTGTAAACTCTCGTCCGCTGCTGTCACTTTAGCTAGTTCACCGAAGTACTCAGTCTGGACCGTCTATGACCGAGGCACCTCTTCCTGGTTCAGGTGTGTGATAATTCCATTTCTTTCTTCTTTCTTTTTCTTTTTTTTTTTTGTAGACGAGTTTTTCACTTCCTTGTTGCCCAGGCTGGAGTGCAATGGTGCCATCTCGGCTCACTGCAACCTCCGCCTCCTGGGTTCTAGTGATTCTCCTGTGGTCCCAAGTAGCTGGGACTACAGGTACACGCCACCACACCTGGCTAATTTTTGTATTTTTAGTAGAGATGGGGTTTCACCATGTTGGTCTGGCTGGTCTCGAACTCCTAATCTCAGGTGATCCACCCACCTTAGCCTACCAAAGTGCTGGGATTGCAGGCGTGAGCCACTGTGCCCGGCGGGAATTCCATTTTAATTCTGGTCAAATATCATGATTTTAGTACCTTCTGCTTCAGGGCAGAAGGCACTTAAGTTCAATCCTCAACAGCTTGAAATTAAATCCAGAAACCCACTGTAAGAGGTAATGCATCTAAATGTTTACTATGGAGAGGTAGGGGACAAACGACATACAGGAGTCGAATGGCCTCCCCAGATTTGGGTGAGATGGGGCTCCCAAGGGTACATGCACTCCCCACACTGAGAATCTCCCCACAGGGAGAACAGGAACAGGAAGAATCATTGCAGAAATGGGATTTCATGGCATGTCACATTTTCTACAGGTGAAAATTATTAGGAAAAAATAGCTCATCCAGGTAGCAGAACCCAAGAAAGAGAAACTAGAGGGGGGGTTGGCATGGGGGAAAAACAGGCTTCTAGAAAACGTGCAAGGGCAGAATGGCAGGAACAGAGACCTCGGGAAAACCAGCTAAAATCTGAGGCTTCTCTGACTAAGGCTGCAGGGAGGCGTGTCTGGAGGGCTGAAACCGGAACACTATGATAATGATTTCTGTGAATGTGATGCTAAGGTTGTTCAGTTAGAATTTTAGGGAACACCGTGGAAGAAATATTTTCAGCCTGATATCAAACCTGGGGTCCAGAGAGAAAAGTCTCAGCTTGCTCATGGAGAAGAGCTACAAGAGAAGCACTCATCTGTTTGCCAGGGTGGGAGAACCAGTAGCAGATGAAATAGAAAAGCCACAAAGGAAAAGGTGTTATGGTAAAAGCAAGCCAAGTTCTACTGCCCTCAGTGATGTACTGTCTATGGCTACTTACGCACAACATTGGCAGAGACCACGTGGTCCACAAAGCCTAAAATGTTTACTTGCTGGCCCTTTACAGAAAAAGTTTGCTGGCCTTGGTCTAGACCCTGCCTCTGATGCTGACCTGACCCGGGGCAGACCATACATACATACACACACACACACACACACACACACACACACAAGGGTGGTTATTTATATAACTCATACCGCCAGTTTACCAATACCAATAGTAAACATCTAAAGATTGATTGATATGTATCCTTTAAAAATTTCTGGGTGCAGTAACATGCAGATTCTTGTATACATAACTCCGTTTTAAGAATATATACACTGGCTAGGCATCCTAGCTCTCATGCCTGTAATTCCAGGAGTTTGAGAGACTGAGGTGGGCGGATCTCTTGAGCTCAGGAGTTTGAGACCAGCCTGGGCAACATAGTGAAATACCATCTACACACACAAACACACACACAAACACAAAAATTAGCTGGACATAGTGGTGCATGCCTGTAGTCCAGCTACTCAGGAGGCTGAGGTAGGAGGATCGCTTGAGTCCAGGAGGTCGAGGCTGCAGTGAGCCAAGTTCATACCACTGGACTCCAGCTGGGGAGACACAGTGAGACCCTGTCTCAAAAAACAAACACACACACACACAAAACAAACAAACAAACAAACAAATATACACACTAACAAAGACCTTAATGTATTTTCTCTGCAGAACTTGTCAGATATGCTCTCCCAGCCCTTCATACTAAGCACAATGGGTACTTGTCCAAGCCCATCCACCATTCTGTCAGTCGCATCCTAAGAAGACATCAGAGAAGATTCCCTCCTAGACCACACAAAATGGACCGATCATCTTTGGCAGTGTGGCCATGACCCACATGAGGATTTATAAGCAACCTAGTCACCGGGACTTCATGTGGTTACCTTTTCTGAATGGCTCCTGGTTCTCCTCCGCTTCCCTGTTGACTCGGTTTTGTTCTGGTTCAACAGTAGACCCCTGGTCATCAAGTTCATCTTCTGTTTCATCATCACTATAGGGAACCACTTCATCATTAGGCTGAGAATCCTCATCAAATGTCGTTTCTGAGTCTCTTTCTGTACTCATTCTGCCGGCAAATTGGAACTACCTGCTTAAAAGGAAAGAGAAATCAGAGTGGATTATGACTCTTGCCCAGTTTTTGGTTGAATCCTGCCTGTATCCCGTTACAGTGCCCCTTTTACAGAACATTGTCTTACTGACATGTAAATATTCTGGAATAGTACCCCCAAATTCAACTTAACATGCAAATAAGAACAAAACCATTCAGTACTGATTAAATGCTTGGGTAAGATTTTTAAAAAATATGTAACTGCAAACCTTTTATTTTTAAACAAGGGTATATATATATATATATATTTTTTTTTTTTTTAAGGCAATATTTAAAATTAGGGGGTCTCTACCCAATGAAATAAATTTAGTGGGTAACAATCAACATTAAACTAAAATGAAACAGACTATAAAATATCTGATTACAGCACATATAATAAGAATAAGTACTGCTTGATAACACAGTTGTACACATTCACACGTTTATTTGCATTGTGGGTGTTAATGGAGCTGAATTTCTTCCTGTGGATTGCTGGCAAAGTTGACAAACCATTGCTCTAAGATATCTGGTTTCTGCTAACACTAACATTCCGAGCCTTTGTTCTGACACAACATTTTTAATATAACCTTAGATCTTCCAAGTTTACTGACTTCCCAGGAACACTCCCTAGCTTTTCTATCTTCCCAACTACCGCTGCCCACTCTGTATCTGCAATTTGTGCTTGAGCATCTACCGCATAAGATGACTCCAAACAAGTGCGAAGAACAACCTTAGTTATATTTATTTTAGGAAAATATTTACACAAATAACTCAGGTTACAGACACACAGCCTGACATTTACATAAGCATCACGGTGCCGTGTAGTCAGTATTGTTAATGACAGCAGCTCACATTTATTTTGTGTTAACTGCATGCCAAGCCTTGTACTAAGCACTTTATAGACATGGGCTCATTGAAACTTCCCACACCACCATGGTGAATAACAGTCTTATTGTTATTCCTACCCAGCAAAGGAGAAAAATCAAAACACTGGAATGCTAAATAACTTGCACAATAATTATTAAAAATTTAAGGCAGCCACGCGCTGTGGCTCACGCCTGTAATCCCAGCACTTCGGGAGGCCGAGGTGGGTAGATCACGAGGTCAGGAGATCGAGACCATCCTGGCTAACACAGTGAAACCCAATCTCTATGAAAAATACAAAAAATTAGCCGGGTGTGGCAGCGGTTGCCTGTAGTCCCAGCTGCTCGGGAGGCTGAGGCAGGAGAATGGCGTGAATCTGGGAGGCGGAGCTTGCAGTGAGCCGAGCTAGCACCACTGCACTCCAGCCTGGGCAACAGAGCAGGACTCCATCTCAAAAAAAAAAAAAAAAAGGCAAAAACAACTGCTTCACAAGGAGAGGTCTACGCTCTATTTTTGTATTATGGTTTATGATATATTTTGAACGAAAATTGCCTCAAGTAGAACTATGCAGCTGATTGCACGTTTTGCACCAAATCTTAGACCTCTAAAATAATTTTTACATTCACAAATGCACACTTACAAAATTTTCAAATATTTATATGAGGATTTTTGCCAAGTATTATGTAAAACAGTAAAAGCCAAAAGCAAGCTGGGTTACAATTGTCGACTATATAAATAAATTGTGGCATCTGATATTCTAGGATAATGTGCAACAATTTAGATGATCAGAAGAGTATTTGATGACATTGCATTAATGACCTTAATAAGTAAGTTATTAAGCCATATGTATAGCATACACCCAGTTATTCACACACACACTTGTTCATTTTCCAAAATCTCAACAATTGACATACATTATTTTATTATTATTATCTTTTGAGACAGAGTATTGCTCTGTCGCCCAGGCTAGAGTGCAGTGGTGCAATCTTGGCTCACTGCAACCTCTGCCTCCCAGGTTCAAGCAATTCTCCTGCCTCAGCCTCCTGAGTAGCTGGGATTACAGGTGTGTGACCACCACCTTGCTAATTTTTGTATTTTTAGTAGAGACAGGGTTTCACCGTGTTGGCCAGCGCTGGACATACATGATTTAATAGTGAGATAGGCATGCAAAATGCCTCAACTCAGTGCATAGCTACATAAGTACTCAATAAACATTAACCATTAATTTTTCATATACTTCTTGGTATTTGTATGTTTCCTTTGAAAAATGTCTATTCATGTCCTTTGCTCACTTTTAATGGTATATATTATTATTTTAAAATATTGTTGGCATCATTACAAAGAATAATTAGATTCTATTGCATGATGCTGTACAGTGGCACAGTTTAAAGAGCCCTATAGTCACAGATGCAAGTCCTAGCACTCCCGGTCCTCAGCACCTCAGGCATTCTCTCGCCTTCAAAGAATATTTACTCCCCAAATCCATAGTCTTACCTCTGGCCTTAGCTTTTCAGTAGCAAGCACAAGCCTTCCTGGCAGTACTTATAATTTAATGGTTATGCTTATGCTTTCCTGGTTATATTTTACTTTCCTGGCGGTACTTACAATTTCATTGTTATGCTTATGCTTTCCTGGTATATTTATACTTTCCTGGCAGTACATATACTTTCATGGTTTATACTATTTTAAAATTATTTTTTAAATGGAGCTAAATTTTTAAAAAGTCTTTTTCCACTAAATCGCATGCCATGTTAATTCTAAATTTCCCTGGTAAGCTCTTCTTTCTTTCTTTTCTTTTACTTAAGTTTCTAGCGCATACATTGTGCAGACGCGGCAGGTTTGTTAATAGATACATGTGCCATGGTGGTTTGCTGCACGCATCACTCGTCGCTAGGTTTAAGCCCTGCATTAGGTATTTGTCCTAACAAAGCGCATCCA